TAGAACTCTTAGCAGTCGTGACCCAAATGTGGGACCATGCGTCTTCATCAAGATAACATCCCAATTCTTGTTCCTATCTAGAGGCATGGGGAGGTAAGCCCCTATGTAATGAATCCATCAAGAAAGCGTAAAGATGGGAAATCAGGCCTGGACCTCTGACGTTGTCAGATAGAAGTCGTTCAAAGGGGGGTCATAGTAGACAGGTCCCGTAGTGGGCCAGCCAATGTCTGTAAAAAAAACCCAAATACTTTATTTGCAGGAATTGAAAAAGATTCCTAGAGGCTAACTGGTGTTTATCCCGATGCACTGGAAAAGAAGCCATACCTGACAAAATGTAGAAATTCCTGGCTTGGTGTAAGGATCATGATCGCCAGTGCTGGAAGGCGGAAGGATTATCATATCCCGGAAGAAATTCTGGGGTTCCCTTGGAGAGATAAAAGAGGGTTGTGGAGGATGCCCACTGTTGAGCGGTTGTGGAGGATGCCCACTTCAGGTTATCCCAGGGACGCAACGTATGTTTGGTAACAGGGCACATAACCACTTTATGAAATTTGGTAGGTAACCATGGAAGATTAGTCAGGAATATAGAGGCACATAAATTAGCTTCCAGGGAGACCCACAGAGGGACTTCTCGTTCCGACTGCCAATGAATCAATGGGACTAGTTGTGTCGCTGAATATTTTTGGAAGAGTGGCAGACCCAGACCTCCCTGAAGTTTTGAACGGTATAGAGCGCGCAACCCTGGGAATTGATCCGGGCCAGACAAAATTGAGGATTTGCCGTTGTAGAAGCCATAGACGAAATTATGGAATACTGCTAGAACCCCAGCAAAATATAGAAACTTAAGAAGGACCGACATTTTTACTGCTGTGATCCTCCCAAGCCAAGAAATGTGATGTTGATTCCAAGATGACAGAAGTGAGGACAAATGGGCAAACATCTTAGGATAATTTGCACTCTATAGGGTATCATACGATGGGGTAAGGTTGATACCAAGGTAGGGAAGGGCAGTCTGGACCGAGGAATAAGGGAAGGAGAGTTTCAAAGAATCACGAAGGGATGGAGGCAGGGAGACTTGTTTTGTGTGGGTTGATGCTTAAACCAGAGAGGTCCCCAAACTATTGTAGCAACGGTAAAAGATTAGGCAGGTGTATTAGGGGGTTGGAGATCATCAGTAAAGCGTCCACAAAGAGGCTGATTTTATGGTGGTATCCCGCCACTTCAATACCCTGGATATCCTTGTGATTTCGAATAGCTTGGGCAAAAGGCTCAATTGCCAGGGCAAAGAGTAAGGGGGGACAGAGGACAACACTGCCTATTTCCCCTAGAAATAGGAAAATTATCTGATCTAAAGCCTTGATATTGGACGTATGCTGAAGGTATGGAGTACAGGGCATCTATCCACTGTAAAAAGGACCCTCCAAAACCCCAATGCTGAAGAACCTGTTTGAGATAGTCCGATCCGAGGGAGTTAAAAGCCTTAGTAATGTCTAGGGACAGCAGCATAAGCGGGGTTCGCCTAGTGTGGGTTATGTGAAGAAGTAAAGAAATATGACGAATGTTATCACCTGCTTGTCTCCCTGGCATAAATCCAACTTGATCTTTCGATATTAGCGTGGTCAAAAAGGAGTTAATTCTGGTAGCTAGAATTTTCTATAATAGAGGGCCGTGTAGCCATCTTGTCTTGGTTGCTTCCTATTGTTCTGTGTTTTTAATAGCATTTTGGACTTCCTGAACAAATTCCCAATCAATATTTGTTCTAGTTTCCTCTGTCAGGGTTGGAAGGTTTAAATTACCAAGGAATGCCCCAAGATCTGACTTGAGGAATCAAGCCAGAAGAATGGTAAAGGGATTGAAGGTGTTGTTAGATGATCTGTAGGATTTTCATGGGGTGACATTTTAAATGGCCTCCATCCGAGCGTATTTGTATTGGTACGCGTTTGGGACCCGTGTCTCTCAATCTGTTGGCTAACAACGTATCAGGTTTGTCTCCCTGGAGATACAATCTATGTTTCACTCGGCGTAAATGGGATCCCGCTTTGTGTGTTCAACAGAGATTCAATTCCGCTCTAATGAATGTCAAATGAGATCGGTTACCCGGTGAAGGATCCTGTTGGAAGACCAGGGAGGCCTTTTCAAGGTTTCTGCTTAAATTTGGAAGCTAACTGAATCAGTCAAACCCTAATAGTAGCCTTATGGGCCTCTCAGACTATCCTGAAGGAGTTCCACGAGGAAGAGTCTGTGGGAAAAAATTATGTCGGTGCCGCCCTTATTGAGGTAAGGACTTCAGGGTCTGTGAGTAAGAAGTCTCGAAAGGACCACGTGAAACCATGTTTCTTCGGAAGTGAGAGGTGGCATGTTAAACTTACTAGGTCATGGTCTGACCAGGGTATAGGGTGCATAGAGGCAGAGAATGCGAGGGGTAACAACGAGGTATGTAGAAGTATGTGGTCAATGGGGGAGAAAGTATGATGCGGGTTCAAATAAAAGGTGTATTGCTCTTTGGTAGGATGCAGTTCCCTCCAGGAATCTGCCAAGCCATGTGTACCCAGTATCGAGCGGAATTGTCTGGAGGTAGTCAAGATGGTTGGGGGAACAGTAGGGTCACCAGGTTGTGGCGATCAGTATGAGGGTGTATGACAAGGTTGGAGTCCCCGCACAGTATTAGAGACCCGTTTGAACGGCAGTCAAGCACCTGAAATGTGAAACAAAATCCCAGCTGTCCAGTGTTTGGGGTATATTAAGAAAACAATGGTAAGAGGTACATTGTGGACCGATCCCACAAGTATGAGGTATCTCCCCTCCAGATCTTTAATGGAATCGGTGCACAGAAATGGGAAAGATCTCCGGAAGCCAATTAGAACCCCTCTATTTTTTTTTCCTGCTGAAGCTAGGTAAACGTTAGGGAATGTTGAATGTAGAAAATATAGGGGTGAGTAATTTTTTAATTGAGTTTCCTGTAAGCAAATTACATCAGCATGCAAGGACTTAAAGTGACGAAATGCTTTAACTTGTTTGTTAGGTTAGTTAAGCCTCTGCACATTCAAGGAAACCACTTTGACGGACATGATTGGGAGCCAGTTACTGGAGGCGGAGGCACGGACAAGGGCTAAAGAGTATTAAATACCAGGGAGGGAGAGGAGAAAAAAATTGAAATAAGTTTGAACTAGGGATGCTTACTATGTAAACTAATAGGAGGGAAGTTTTTAGAAGCAATGCAAGCAAGGGTGTGTCATGCACAGATGTTGTGATAAGTGCAAGGAGTGATTATGGGGACCAAGTGCAATGGTGAGAGCAGAGAAGAGGGTGTGCAGGCATGGAGGTGAGGGGAGACTGGTCACTGCAGTGACCAGTCTGTATTGCCACTACCATTATCTTGCAGCCATATTTATGACCTCACAAAAAGGTGGTGAGATTCTGAGCTAGTATACTACTGTGCATGCATGTGAAGGCATCGTCCTCTCCGCTCATATTAATGCATGAGGAGTAATGCTGTGCATGCATGGCTGCCATACCAGCTTACTTTAATGACTTACCAGCAGCCTTACTTGACAGAAACCAGGTGGAACATATTGGAGAAGACCAAGGGGGTGAAAATATTATTTTAAAATGTATGCTTTCCGAATACATTCTTGTTTTTAAATAAACTAAACTAAAATTTGACTCTAGCCAACTAATCTGATGCTTATCTTATATTTTTATTATTAAGCTGAAATCTGTGCATCATCATGAAACTAAGGGGGAAATGAAAATGCAACTACTTCCTGTGCTGACACCTAATTATAGCATGTACCGTATATGTACCGTATATGCTTGATAAGAGGATATAGCTTTTTTTTTTTTAAAGGGTACCTCTTTCCCCTCATTGTGTAGTACTAAGAGAGAACCATGTATACTTCCATAGAAGTACAGTAGTAACATGCATTTCTCACACTGAATGTCTCTTCCACATCATTACAGAAGTGTAATCCAGCTTCATGTAAGAGACTTTTTAACTTGCAAAAGAGGCGAGTGGCATGTTGACTGGTCACTTTGCTCAAGCACATTGTCTGAGAAGACACTTTTCACCTCCTCGAACAGCAATGCCTACACTGTGCAGGTTTATGTGTACTGTTTATGGAGAAATATGGCGGTCTGTTTATAAAGATTGGCAAAAATTGTTTTGCTTTACTGCACTCCATGCTACTTTGCCACTAAATTTTTCTTCTGATAATACAAAAAAAATCTAAATAGAATGCTGTGATACTGAAGTGACTATTCCACTATGATTAATGTTTTTCTTTAGCTTTCTGCATTCAAAATAATGAATTATATCCGGTTTAGGGTGGCTGTGCAGTCTTTACAAAGTGGTAAAATCTATCATCTACAAATTTATTTTGCTGGGCTGTTTTTGGTCAAAATACAATGAAAATAAGCAACTCTAGCATTGTCATCGTTTGTCACTTTTGCTTGACAACTTGGTCTAGGAAAAATATGAATACATGAAAGAATATACTAAAAACGTTCATTACAGGATTAGTCTACATACATTATTAGAATACAAAAATGCCCACATAGCGCTTTACACCCAAATCAACCATGAGCCCAGCTTGTGTTCATGATCTTGATTGTAAATACCTTTGCCACATTCTACCAAAACTGTGTCTGCTCGGCTAAAATAAAAAATCAGACTGCAGCGTTCAGTAATATGAAACGCACAATTACCCTGTAATTAAAGATCAGATGTTTCGCCTTACCTTTGGGTAAAATAATGGAGCAGAAAGCAGTTTTTAAAGTTTATGCCAAGGAAAGGCTACTTTTTTTACTTGGATAGTAAAGTAATTTGGTAACAGTGACATGACTTACTGCTGGTTCATGTGAAGAGTGAATTTTATTAATAGGTCTTCCTTATATAAAATGTCAAGTGTACACATTGCTTGGTGCTTTGTTTTTTGTTGTCTACACATATCATTATTTTGGTTTTCTCTCTAAATATTTGAATAAATTATTTATTTCTGCAGAATCGGGAGGCTATTCGATGGAACAGAGCCCATTGTTTTGGACAGTTTAAAGCAGCACTACTTTATCGATCGAGATGGCCAAATGTTTCGTTATATATTGAACTTTTTACGTACATCAAAACTCCTCATCTCTGATGATTTTAAAGTGAGTAACCTTTGTCCGCACTATCAGTACTTCATTCTGTTCTGTATATGGTTCACAATTATGACTTAAAACTATATGTGCAGCCATCATTTTTTGGGGGTTAAAGGAAGGATCAACTCCCTGTTAGGTCTTCACTGGTATCCAGGGCTCGGTTTGAAAGAATTCCCCTAATTTACTGTTCTGGCGACCACGGTTTAACTAGACAGGAAATGAGGGAAAATCTGCAACAGCGACTCAGCCGGATTTTTAGTGCGGTCTGTGTCCATCAAAGATTTTTTACCTCCATTCCTCTCTGATGAAACTGGTGTCACCATGACTCATTAAAGTCGAACCAAAGGCTCTTAAATAAATTTGATATTCTAGCTGTGCATGTATTCTATTCAGTGCCCATATTGGGGATTTTCACGATATTCATACTTGTGAAAATACCCCGATACTTAAAGCTGATACCGGTCCTTTACATTTTAAAATGACTTCGGCTGCCGTAAGGTTGCGCGATTGCTGGGGACCTCACGTCAGCCTGCTTGGGCCCCCCTGGTGGCTGTTTACAGTGCCGGTCTGGCGGAATATCGCCTTCTCCTCCCTCCCACCACCTGCACAGTCATGGCGTGATCGACGATGGTGAGACTGCACGCATAACTAGTGAGACCTGCAAGCAGCCCTGGTGAGCAACAGAGAGTATGTAGCTTCATACTATTTTGCATTGCTGTAAAAAGTATTTCTGGGATTTGTAGCTCTATAGCTGGTGGTATTCTGCATTGCCATATAATGTATTTCTGGGATTTGTAGACTCTCTACAGCCTGGAGTCAGTGGTTGCAGCTGCGACCGGGCCCTGGCACTCCACCACTGTCCTACAATCATTAGTCTGTATGTTTTTAGAACACTAAAAAAAGGTATCGTTAATTGGCATCGGCGAGTACTTGAGGAAAAGTATCGGTTCTCATACTCGGTCTGGAAAAAATGGTAATCGATGCATCCCAATTTATAATACTTACCGATGTTGCAGACATTATTGCATTTTTGTGCACCCGCCCTCCTGATGCAGGTGTATGGTATTTTCTATCATGTGACACTGCTGAAAACAGCTCCCAGTGACCATTGCACATGCTTGACATGAGTGTGTGAACATATGGGCACATCACTGTGCGGAATTGTGGAGGACACGCACATTTGTAGTTTGCACCAAAAACAAGACCCCTCCTTTCCCTGGGTTACAACCATGCTATTGCACCATTGCACATTTGCATTGCACATTTATGATGATGCCACTGTTGTCCTGAACATACACTGGCTCTGTGTTGTGAACAAAACATTTTTAGCTACTGGAAGGGTTTTAGCTTGAAACGACATGGGTGAGTTTTAGGACAAATGATGTAAACACTTCATCTTCTAAAATATGCCTGATACTCCTGTTTTATACCTTATTACTTCAGTTGAGCTTGCTGTTTATCATAGACTGACATATTTTATATGCTGAACCTTTTACAGTCATAATATGATCTTACCCGAGTTGATTTTTTTTTTTCACCAACATTATGTTCCAGGATTACACGCTCCTGTATGAAGAAGCAAAGTACTTCCAGCTTCAGCCAATGCTGTTGGAGTTAGAGCGATGGAAGCAGGACAGGGAGGCAGGCCGTTTCTCCAGGCCCTGTGAGTGTCTGGTTGTCAGGGTGGCTCCGGATCTTGGAGAAAGGATTACAATGAGTGGAGAAAAGTCTCTAATAGAGGAAGTTTTTCCTGAAATTGGTGACGTGATGTGTAATTCTGTCAATGCGGGCTGGAACCATGACTCCACACATGTTATTAGATTTCCGCTCAATGGATACTGCCACCTCAACTCTGTTCAGGTAAGAGAAAATAACCTTATCCATTCACCCACGGATGTATATAGAGTTGTATGTCTTATAAATTGTTTGCAGTGGAAATCAATGGTCTTCCATAAAACAATACATAGTGGACATAGGCCTGATGAGCTACATATACAATTTTTAGTGTGCTCAGCCGTGCTACCTAAACTGGCTGCAATCAGTTGTTGAAGCTGATCATTCATTTGGGCAATCATCTAGTCATTTCAAGCGGTTTTCAATAGCACGATCATATGCATTGAGGCAGACTACCCTTTTAAACCTTTCTTGAGTTCATTCTCACTGTGACATGTTGCCTACATATATTCAGATGTTTTTGCAATCGAAATCGGATCCATATTGATTAAAAATTGTATGATTGACCAGCATTTGAGTAGCAGTTGATCTCTAATGGAACAATTGCTTGGATATTGTGTATGCTACATAGTAACATGTGTTAGTGATAAATGGAAACCGTTGCAGCACGTCATCATGTGCTTTTAACCATCTTCATGCTACAGTGCATTATCCTCCATTGGGGGTCAATTGTTTTATTAGTGAGCGAGCAATTGCTATGGCTATCAAAATTACCCGTATAGGTTAGAACCCATTCTGTTGGCATTTCATACCTGCTAATAGTAATGTACAAAAAAGTGTGTGTTTCCACATTCAGTAGTGTTTGTTTCCACATTCTGAGCATAGGAGGTATAATTGTGCAGACTCTTTATGAATGTCCAAATGTGTGTTTTAGACAGTAATGGAAATCGTTTGGTGACAACAGAGATTTTGCCATCTCAGCCACGTAAATCATCCAGGTGTATATGGGTAGTTTGACAGCCAGGCATTACAGTATATTTCAACACTGGAAGGGGGGGGGGGTAATTTTGTGTCTTTTAAGAGTAAAATGTCCCCCTTTCAGACAGTTGCCATGAGCCATGTGCTCAGCACGTCTTTCTTTGCCCCTTGGCAGAAGGAGACAGATTTTTATGGCATAGCAGTGTTATTGTAGCATATTGTATACATGGACATGCACACTTCAGTATACACGCATAGGTACACAGGCATATACACATGTGATATAATAGAAACACAATTCTGTCATGTATAACTCCATATAATACTCACCCTTCGATAGGTTATGTCCATCCATTACACATTGCATATTGGTTCCTGTTTACTACTTTTACAAAATGCCATATGTCCAATATAATGGTAGTAAAATGCATATCTCCTTTCGAGTGCATTCCTTGTATACTCTGCTTCTTCAGGAATACAGTTGGGGCTGTACTAAAAACATACAAAATAACATATACAGTCATGTGAACAAGAAAGTACACCCTCTCTGAATTCTTTGGTATTAAGTATAAGGACATAATAAAAATTATCTGGTCCTTAGCAGATCTTAAAATGAGGTAAATAGAAGCTCAGATGAACACATGGCATATTACACCGTGTCATTATTTATTTTACAAACATAAAGCCAAAATAGAGAAGTTATGTGCGAAAAACCAAGTAACTACTAACACCTTATGATTCAATAGCTTGTAGAACCACCTTTATAGCAATAACTTGAAGTAATCATTTTCTGTATGACTTTATCAGTCTCTCACATGGTTGTGGAGGAAATTTGGCCCACTCTTCTTCAGTTCATTGAGGTTTGAGGACATTTGTTGATGCACAGCTTTCTTAAGATCCCGCCACAGCATTTCAACCAGGTTGAGGTCTGGACTTTGACACGGTGTAATATGTCATGTGTTGTTGTTCATCGGAGATTGTATTTACCTAATTCTACGACCTGCTCAGGACCAGAAGATTTTTATTATGTCCTGATACTTCAAACCATAGAATTTAAAGGGGGTGTACCTTCTTTTTCACATGACTGTATAACTACAATGTAATTCTGATTACATACATTTCAATTTGCTAAAGAGGAACTTTACCCATATCTTGAAAAAACAGAAATGGCACCGTTAGAAATGTTTAGTAATAACAGTCTACAAACAGATACTCCTAGATAATCGCCGGCTTTGTATTCTTTGCATACCTTATTTCTGTTTTCTTCCCCAGTCTTCTCACAGTGGCCATGTTTACTAAGGGCAGATGAATCCATCTCCTTTTACTTCCTGGAACTCTGGCATATGTGACTATGCACATCATCACAGGGGAGGAAAATGTATTTCCCTGAGATCTTCTGAGATTACAGCTGAGATTTCCCAGCAATGCTGTGCTGATGTAATCTTCCCAGGATGCAACACTCGGGCAGATTACATCACTTTTGCGAAAGAGAACCAAGAAGTAGAAAACAAATTGTAATTAAAATGAAAACATGTTCGTTTACCTATTGAATGTAAGATGATTTCATATCAGCATGCAGAGCTGTATGCTGGGGTGATTTTTAGTGAAAAGGGGTAAAGGTCCAATTTAATAATATCATACAATATATACAGTACATACAAATGAAACTTGTGAGTTTTGCCAGAGTGTGGCTGTTGAGATATCCCCTAGGTGAGGACAGAGACATTAAAAGGAGAGACAAGAGATCATGTTCCCCACTGTGCACTCCCATAGTTCTGAAATAAAATAATAATAAAAAATATATATATATTTCTACATTTAAAACAGATCCAATACCCATTAGCACATTTCTAATGCTGATCATAAATTACAGTATTACCTATTGGTTTTGTTGTGTGTGGCATCCAATTTACCATTATGGCAGTCTTATTTTCAAGGGGGGAAAACTAGAATGTAAATAAGATTTGACCAATAATACTGGATCCATACAATATATATCCTTTTATAATGCACATATCATATTGCTCATACCTTGCAGTTTGAGTATAGGAGAGGATGGTCTTACTCCCCTCTGGATACACCACGTAGGGTTATACCACATGTGTTGTATAGGTAGTCTTTGAAGGAGTAAAGGGGAGAACCTTAAATTACCTGTTTGTAATTGCTCCATGTAATAACACTGAAGGGTTCCCTTGCTGTATGTCCTTTGTTTTCTCCGAAAGGAGAGCAGCAACTACAGATTTTGCATGTAGCATCACCTGCTGATGAAATCTGGTACTGCAGAACAACTCTTGTCTGCCGTGGGTGTCTCTCCAAACCACTTTATTTCACTGTCTGAGTGATGTAAAAATGCATTGATACTACAGTGATTTACTGGAGAGCTGTGGGAAAGTTGTTGGAGTTTTTCATTTCCTTGGACTTGCCCTTTAAAGAAGAATCCTACAAAGATTATTTGTGTGGTGCTCGGCGAGGTATCTGTAACGTTACGATTTCTGATAAAATATTGGCTCCCTTCAGCCTTCTCACAATCTCGGTACATTTCCGATTCTTCAGGATGCTGGTTGTCCCCTTGGACCCCTGTGGGGCAGACTTGTGAATGTATGTGACAGACTAGGAGCAAGCTGCCACAGGACTACGAGTACTTTTCAACTTTACACTTACCTCCCCAAAGCCACACGTTGAGCCTTTTGTGGTGTTCTTTTTAACATGATATATTTGTGGTATAAACCATAACCCAATTGCTGATCGTTTTGTGATGGTGGTTTTGGATTTTAAAACTAAAGTATTTGTTTTTATTTTCTTTCCAATTGTAGGTGCTGGAAAGGTTGCAGCAGCGAGGATTTGAGATTGTGGGTTCATGCGGAGGAGGAGTTGACTCTTCTCAGTTTAGTGAATATGTACTGAGACGAGAACTGAAAAGGACATCACGTGCACCCTCTGTCATTCGAATAAAGCAGGAGCCCTTGGACTGAGCAGAGACACTTTTCTTATGCAAAATGGGACAATTTCTGTGCAGCTGGGACACATGTTCCAGAATCAACACTGATACTGAGACATTTCCGTCACCTCAAAAGACATCAAATGCTGTTATTTACACAGCGACATCAGGAACACTCAGCAGGACGGCTACTACAGGATAATAAAATGTCGAAAAAATAATAAAAAAAATAATTAGCCCGTAACATTATGAAAGGGTACTGTAATAACTACACATTATTCACAACTGATGCTGTACATTAGATAATATACCATAAGTTTTACGTTCATGTTTTTATTCTTTGTATTACAGAGATTTAGCCACAGAAAATATCCTTCTAAGATTTGAGGGACTCATGGCAGAGAACAACCACTATATCCCTTTTCTGCTGTATTTAAAACTGTTCTAGTAACATGGGAACCTGGATCCATTTAGATCAAAGAACTATAGTGATGTCAGATATGAACACAGAAAAGCGCCAAAAAGGACTACTCCGCCAGTATGGACCAATATAAGCACAAGTATAATCAGAAACAAGTCTGTTAAAAAATATATAAATAATAAAAAGCACGTGTGTAGAAAGGTCTGCAGGATGCTGCCCCCAAACCAGCCAGGGAGACCGCAAAATCTAGGGAAAAAAACACAAACAAGGGGGCGCCTTTCCTGGTGCAGACAAATTTATTAAGATCAGGATCAAAGGTAGATAAAAAACATACTCACAAAATTCAGCATGATAATGATATAAAAAGTAAGTCCATGGACCCAACAAAAAGTCTATGGAAGCTGCACAATCGTGTCTATGTGTCAGCAGAGGAGACTGTGTGATGACGCGTTTCCGGGGTCACGCCCCCTTCATCAGAACTTTTTATATCATTATCATGCTGAATTTTGTGAGTATGTTTTTTATCTACCTTTGATCCTGATCTTAATAAATTTGTCTGCACCAGGAAAGGCGCCCCCTGTTTGTGTTTTTTTTACTATAGTGATGTCACCCATAGAAGCTAATTGGATGTCTTCTTTTTATTTTCCATCTGGCAATGGAAACATTATAGCTGGAATCTAATTGGCTGCTATGGGCAGCACCCTAAACGTCTGTGCACTACTTTTTATAAACAAGCTCCATTATGTTTCCTGGTTTTAAGTTCTACAATGCCATGAAAGCACCACAGGAATAAAGCATGGTGAAGTGTGGCCTTTGTTGGCACTTTACTAAACAATTACCCAGTGTACATCTAGGCAAAGCAAAAAACATTCCGTACATCTCTGCAATACATGCACATTTCCAACTATTGTTGTCACTTTAAAAATGTTGCACGTGATCCCGTTTTAAAAAGCTTTTAACTTCATGTAGTGAGCTGACAATGCTGCCTCTGCAGCACTGAAATCCCAAGCAGTGTTGTCACAATGCCGGCGTTCTTTCCTGCTGGATGACAGAATTCCTCCCCTATATGGTATGAAGATAAGAGGAAGGGGTGTTCTGTATTCCAGCAGGGGAGAACTGTGGCAAGGCTGACAACACTGCATGGTATTTTAGTGTAGCAGAGTCAGTGTCTGCTCAGTAAGGGAAGATAAGACCCTATTGGATTTCTGGTAAAATTCAGGGTTTTTTAAAGAGACAAAAACATAGGGAACTGAGCATGTATTTTTTTGCCAAGATATAAACAAATTAGTTAAATTCTGAATTATAAAACAATGAGTAAAATAAGTGCAGAAATTGCTTGATTTTTTATAAATGTCCCTATTTGTATTATTGGGTTTTTTAATGTAGAGATGACTGTTGGCAATGTACATGTGGTTAGTGTATATACATGCTTTTTTATATACTTTTTAAGCCCCCTTTAAAGTGACTGCCAAGCCAAAACTAGTTATGAATAGAGTGGGGAGGGAGTAGAAACTGTGTCGGGTTTTACTGGTATGCAACGCTCTGTTAGAGAGATGTTCCCTCACATTCTGTCCTGCTGATAATGTTTTACCAGACTGGAGGTGAGGGGGACTAGCCAACAGAAACACAGACAGAAATAAAAACCCTTATTTAGTAGAGTAGGGCAAGACTACAACCCTTGTCAGATTTTTATATCTGTCCATGTTGTAGGATTTTTCTTGCTTCCTGTGTGGCAAAACTGTTGTCACTGGGACAAAAACTTGGAGGGGGGATCTCTCCTAACAGAGCTCCAGATAAAAACTAGACGGGATCTCTAATTCTTCCCTACTGTTATGTAATACTAAATACGCTTTTGGTCTGACATACACTTAAATTTAGCTGGAACAATGTTATGATCTGTATCTGACCTTTGTGGTGGGTTTGTGAAACCTCTTTTTCTAAAAGGAAAACAATCTGGTTATCCATTGAGACTGCCTTTGGAAGATTTAGCTCTTAGTATTTGAGAGCTGGAACGGCTGTGATTCTGATGATTTATCCATACCCATAAGTTTTCTTATTTGTCATTATATGTTCTTTATCATGTATTGAGGGACACAGGAATTGTATAATTCTGGTTATCCTGCCGCCTACAGGAGTTTGAGACAATGGCAAACTGAACAAGTTGTAAGCCAGTCCCCTTATAACTTCTCCTCTAGCCAGCACTCCGTTATCCTAATAGGTTGGATGTCATGTCCTCAGTCTTTTGCTAGCCTTCTATCCTTTAGGAGTGGGTTCCTTCATTTACCTCTGACATATGAAAGTACTTTAAATGTATTTTGTTCTATCAGTGGTTGTTGCCCACCCCTCAGTTGGACTGCTTTTGGATGTCCTGACTGTAATAGAATTTCTGTGTTCCTTAAGGGATAAAGAACTTGAGATGTTTGTACTTGCCATACAGTCTGTCGAGGCCCCATACCTCTGTGTGTTTCTCTGGTCCAGTGGATTGCTTTATCACAAAACTGAGACATGCTGGGAAAACAAGGGGTTATACAGAGACTGGCTTACAACTTTTACTGTTTGCCAGTGTCCCAGCCTCCTGTAGGTGGCAATATAACCCAACTGTATTAGAATTCCTGTGTCCCTCAATGGACTACAAGAAAAAGATTTAACAGTAAGTACAGGAATAGTAATGGTCCCCAAGCCAAGGCTGTCATAACCCAACTGGCTTTCAGCCCATCCTTTTAAAGATCATCTACCTTTATACACCCATAAGCAACAGGCCAAACAAACCTTGCCTATATCATAGAATTTTGCTGAACAGGTTGACATTGTTAGTAAAGATTTTTGTTTTTGAAGTACATATTTCATTAAGCTCTCTGCCAGCTATTATGTGGTGTCTGTGGCTCCTTAGCTGCCAATTGCTAGCCCGATTCAAACCTTACCAGGAAAATGGCAGTAGGAAGTCAAACATTGATTAGTAGCCGTGGGGAAATACCATCAATTGTTATTTCAGACTCTTTGGCTGCATCGGTGGAAGAAGTTTTACCAGAGTAGTTTTGTAAATAAAAGATTGGTAGATATGAGAACTCTGTGCATTCCCCATTCACATCTTACATATTCTGTTACTTTGTTTTATAGTTTTGCAGCAGAATTGTTCCACATTTCTGAAGATGTTTAATCCAATGTAACATTCCAAGCTGGCTCAGTAATGCAGCTGATCAGCTCATTAGTATTCAGTATTTCTTATAAGGCACGTCTAGAAACAGGAAATGCTGCACACACTAGTGGGGGAATTTATCAAAACTGGAGCAGATTTGAACTATAACCAATCGCCTTCTCTGTCTCATTTTCAAATCTTACCTGAGTAAACTGAAGAGAGGTGCTGATTGGTTGCCATGGGCAACTGCTCCAGATTTTGTCTGCTCCAGTTTTGATAAATTCCCATCACTGTCTCTTATTGGTTCACTATGTACCCGTTTTATTTTAGGCAGTGTGACATCACAAGTTCCATGAGGTTAGTATATACAGTAATACAGCCTTCTGGCATCTGTGCAGATTGCCTATCCAAGTGCTAAACGGGAACAGTTTACAGTTGGCTAAGACAAGCATAATCTTGTATCTGCCTTTGTGCATCCCCCCCCGTCATGCTCACGATATGATTCATTAGTTTACTTCATGATCGTGTCTGGTTTAAAAGGTCCAGCCATGTGATGTAGGAAAAAAAGGGGTGCAAACTGCACAATACGTTTATTACAAACCTCTGCAGTAACCAGTTAGAGACACAGAGGTTGAAAAATCAAATCTAACACCGGAAAATCTATACTGTATATAAATGGTCTGCAGTTGGATCTGAACTGGTTAAGTCCCGATTAACGTTGCACATTTTTTAAATAAATATCCTGGGGGGGATTTGTCAAAACTGGGACAGACAAAATCTGGAGCAGCTGTGCATGGCAACCAATCAGCTTCTCTCGAGTTTCTTCAGTTAAGATTTGCAAATGAAAGATAGAAGCCGATTGGTTGCCATGCACAGCTGCTCCAGATTTCGTCGGCTCCAGTTTTCCATGTGTTTTGGGGCTGACTTATGAGAACTGGAACAAATGTAATATATGGCGACTGCCTGTGGAAAACTGCATTTCTTTTTCTATTTATCCTATTGTATGCACTGAAAATGAAACTTAGAATAGTGTAAATATAGATCACATTTTGCTTTGCTGCAGTTTTTATAAATCAGTGCCAGTATGTAGTCAGCAGGTTGACGTTAAACACGCGGGATGTCAGACTATGTGCACACAAATTACTGTCCCTTGTGCTTCCAGATATCCAGAGATAATTTTATTACTAGGCTTCTCCAAGAACAAATGGGTATTTGTTTTGCTCACTGTGTATAATGGTGGTAATGACCCAGAATCCCCCTTTCACCATCATCCACGGGCTTCCCACATACTGCTGTTTCAGAAATCGCATTGCCAGATATGGGCTTGTCTCATTACTCACATTTCTGCACACATAGTAGTTCTGAGCTGAAGATGCATCAGAGGTTATTTATAAACTGTGATATCGCAGCAAATTGTGGATACCAGGTACTGTTGGTGTACACGCACATTTTTAGTTTAAAGGAGAACTATGGGGTCAGTGCTTTTCCCCACAGTTCTCCTAAGGGTAACGGCAGGACACAAACTAGCGTCCTCCCGTCACCCTAAGATCAGTATATCGTGAGCCACAGCTCGCGGTATACTAAGATGCCGCAGTTGAAACGGATCCCGACAATTATGTCTGGATCCACCCAGCTGCGTGAGTGACAGCTGGCTCTGCCTATCTAGAGGCAGAGCCAGCTGTACCCGCCCCCTCCCCCATCCATTCCACCAGTCAGCGCTGGAGGAGGGGGGAATCCAGTCCGTCCCCTGTCACGGCTCACTTCC